GTTCAACTGTGGTATGGATCGTTTGGTTGGGATCAAGTTATCTCAGGATTTATTATCCTAGGATTAGTTATCCCACCATGTATATGGGATAACTTACCTCATCACTATGGTATAAATGGTGGGATAAGTTATCCCCAACATGACAGACATCAAAATTTAATCTCAAGACTATTTATTCTTATCTCTCACACCAAACGACCCAAACTAGCTCTTGAAGAAAGGATTGCTGAAATTCATTCCATCTTTCCTCAGTCAATATGAGACTCTAACTGTCCCTATGATCATTTGGCCGTTAACACATTTTCAAAGACTATCAAAATCACATCTTCCCCTTTACTCAACTCTGTCAACAAAGCAACAGAAAAGGAAAGTAGAAAAGGACTTGTTGTCTCTTCTCTTTTTTCCTACTCACTTCCTCTCTTTTTTTCCTCCCCTGCAAATTCTTCCTCTGCTTCAATGGAGCTGCATTGGTGTTACTATTCTTGGTTCCTTCTATCTTCTATCTTCATCAAAGTTGCTTTTTGTGATCCTGAAGGTACGCTTCAAAGGCAGATACAAGATTTAAACTTACGAGTTCCAACCTTTTAAACATTCTTATACTGTACTTCTAAAATTATGACTACAAAATGTACTATATATGTTAAAAGCCTAGTGGTTTCTTGATTTTACTTCTTCAATCTCTTCTTTTCTCCCTTGTGTAAAGTTGAAGTTATATTTGCATGTACGTGTGTGTTCAGCACATGTGAACTCATAAACTTTAAATCCTGGATCTGCCTCTATCAGTATGCATTACATTGAAAGAAAATGGAAGGTTTTAAGATGAAATGTTGCTTATGTTGTGAAATGTGCAGGATTCTTGAGCTTGTCTTGTGGTGGAAATACTACCTATGTTGATTCCTCCAACATTACATGGACACCAGATGGTGCCTATATCTCAGCTGGTAACATGACCACTGTTGATTTTCTAGAGGGTTCCTCTTCATCTACTCTCCCAGTTAGGTTCTTTTCTGATTCGCCACGTAGAAAATGTTACAAGATTCCAGTGAAGAATGTGTCATCCCTGGTCCTTGTCAGGACACAGTTTGTGTATAAGAATTATGATGGACATAATAAGCCACCTGCATTCTCTGTTTCTCTTGGGAGGGCTATTACAACAAATGTCAATCTTACTCATATCGATCCTTGGATCGAAGAGTTCATATGGCCAGTTGATAAAGACATTCTGTCTTTATGTTTTCACTCTCTTCAAGATGGTGGATTTCCAGTCATTTCATCCCTTGAACTTAGGCCACTTCCTCAAGAAGCTTACAGCAATGCCTTGGGAGATTTTCCCAATAAGTTGCTGAGGAAATGTTATCGTATCAACTGTGGTTATAATTGGTCCCTGAGGTTAGAACAAACTCTCACTTGTCGATTATGTTATGTATGTATGACTTATCGATTGTTTAGTCCTTAGTTTCTGTTTAGATTTGATGTTTTTCGTGCTATGTAAAAGGTACCCGATCGATAAGTATGATAGAATTTGGGATGCTGATGAGGATTTCAGCCCATTTCATGTGTCTTCTGGTTTTGATATTCAAGCCAATTTCAATATGACAGTTCTCAAAGAGAACCCTCCTGCAGCTGTTCTTCAAACCGGAAGAGTTTTGGCACGGTGGAGTGATATGACATATAAATTTCCTATTGATCACCAAGGAGATTACCATATTGTTCTCTACTTTGCTGGAATTCTGCCTGTCTCCCCTTCATTCGATGTATTGATAAATGGGCATGTTGTTCGATCAAACTACACAGTTAATCGATGGGAAGTCAGTAGTCTGTTCTTTACAATGAAAGGAATCGAGAGCTTGAACATCACATTGAAGACTGTCCACTACTATCCATATATCAATGCTCTTGAGGTTTATGAGATCCTAGACATTCCCTTGGAAACTTCTTCAACAACAGGTTCTAATACAGTTTTATTGTTTTTTCGACCTTTGAAGGAGTCTGTTAGAACCAATCACACCAACTTTTGACATTTTTTATGCTTGCAGTTTCAGCCCTACAGGTTATTCATCAGTCAACTGGTCTAGATCTTGATTGGGAAGATGATCCATGCTCTCCTAAATCATGGGAACACATAGAATGTGAAGCAAATCTCGTAACTTCATTGTATGCCAAAGTTTACCCTAGAACTACATTTTCCTTTTATTTTCTTTCTCTTGGTCTTATTTTTGTTAAGAGCAGAACATAATAAAGTTAAGACTTTATATAGGGAGCTTTTTGATGTAAACTTGAGGTCAATCAGCCCAACATTTGGTGACCTACTGGATCTCAAATCACTGTAAGAGTCATTAGTCTTAACAACTTATCACTTAATAGCCATTGTTTGGCTATCTTGACTAACTTATTTGAGGTTCTTCCTGTTGCAGAGATTTGCATAATACTTCACTCGCTGGAGAGATACAAAACATCGGCAGCCTGCAACATCTTAAGAAGCTGTAATACTTGATCTCGAGGAATTACCATGTTAAGTTAATGTACTTGAGAGAGCATTATCTAAAATAAGTTGTGCGCTCTCAACTTTGCAGGAACTTAAGCTTTAATCAACTTACAGCTTTTGGTTCAGAGTTAGAAGACTTGATAAACCTTCAAATTTTGTAAGTCTCACTGCTTGCATTCAGATAGTGACTTCCTTCATTCTTCCTTGCTAGTCCTGTTCAACAGTCTTTACAATTAGTGTTTTCTGTTGAAGGGACTTGCATAACAATAGCTTTCAAGGAACAGTACCCGATAGCGTTGGAGAACTGAAGGACCTCCACTTGCTGTGAGTGAGGAAAATATATACTGGCATTTTGAACTTCTTAAAGTACTTCACGTGATAAATTATTCTAATTTACCTCTCTGCAACATTCAGGAACCTAGAAAACAATAAGCTGCAAGGCCCCCTGCCACAATCTTTGAACAGAGAGAGCTTACAAGTCCTGTATGAAATCAGAAAGTCTTTTGTTTTTTGCTTCTCATGTCAGTTTCTCGGCTTATCTTTTTCGCCCTATTTTGCAGATCATCAGGAAATCTGTGTCTTTCCTTCACTATGTCTTTATGCAATGAATTCTCAAGAAATCCTACAATTGAGACACCACAAGTCACTGTCTTTGCACCTATAAAACACAAACGCCATAATCGATTCATAGTTATACTTGGTGCAGTTGGAGGAGCTGTGTTTGTTCTATTCGTTGTCTTTATATCAGTATTATTGTACATGAGGCGAAGAAAAAGTGGAGATACATATGCATCAAGTATGGAAAAAAGTCAAAACTTTTCTTTAACATTTCTCAGAATATTGATCAATCTGCTTCTAAACATGCACTTTTTTCTAATTCTAGGAACTGCAGCAGAAATGAAAAACTGGAATGCTGCAAAAGTATTTTCATACAAAGAAATCAAAGCTGCTACAAACAACTTCAAAGAGGTTATTGGCCGTGGTAGTTTTGGATCTGTTTATCTTGGGAAGCTTCCTGATGGTAAACAAGTTGCTGTTAAAGTTCGATTCGATAAAACTCAACTGGGTGCTGATTCTTTTATCAATGAGGTTCGTCACTATACCCATGCTAGTTCAGTTCCAGTCTACAAAGAAAAAAGAGATTCAAGAGCTCTCTTTATTATCTGTAGGTATCCCTTCTATCACAAATCAGTCATCCAACTCTTGTGTCGTTAGAAGGATTCTGCCATGAGTCAAAGCAACAAATTCTAGTTTATGAGTATTTACCTGGAGGATCACTGGCTGATAACCTCTATGGTACGTCACGCGTGATCTCACCCATATTCACACTTTAAATCCATAATCCTCTTCTGTCACGTATCGTTTTCTAACTCTTAATAACTGTCTCAGGAGCAATGAGCAAGAAATTGACACTAAGCTGGGTGCGCAGACTGAAAATTGCAGTTGATGCTGCAAAAGGTATGAGTAAAGAGAGGCATTATCATTACTTAAGTTTTTTATAGTTTTTAATGTTTGATTATATAACTTGTAAAGGTTTGGATTACTTGCACAATGGAAGTGAGCCAAGAATCATACACCGTGATGTGAAGAGCAGCAATATACTTCTGGATGCAGACATTAATGCTAAGGTATCTGATTTTGGCCTTTCTAAGCAAGTAACTCAATCAGATGCAACTCATGTTAGCACTGTTGTCAAAGGCACTGCTGGCTATCTTGACCCTGAGTAAGCTTCAAGTCATTTATCATCCAGTTTAATATTTGGTCCTTCCTATCCTAATTCCTAAACCTCTCTTACTACTTGTCCTCAGATACTATTCCACTCGACAGCTCACAGAAAAGAGTGACATATACAGTTTTGGAGTCGTTCTTCTTGAACTTATTTGTGGCCGAGAACCACTTAGCCACTCGGGGTCTCCAGATTCCTTCAATTTAGTTCTATGGGTAATAACAAGTCTTATAATGTTTTACACACAAAAGCATTTCATTGACTTCCTATAATACTCACATGTTGTAAACTAAATGTGAAAATTTCAGGCAAAGCCGTACTTACAGGCTGGTGCATTTGAGATAGTAGATGAGAGCATAAAAGGAACATTTGACACAGAAAGCATGAGAAAAGCTGCTTTAATCGCCTCAAGGTCAGTGGAGAGGGATGCATTGCGAAGGCCGAGTATTGCAGAAGTATTAGCTGAGCTCAAAGATGCATACAGCATTCAACTTTCCTATTTAGCATCTGAAGGACTAGCCAATTGATAAATTAGACCTTCACTACTGCAGCTCACAATTTGCAAATATAAGGTTTCTCTAGTTGAATCAAATGTTACTGTAACTTTATGACAACTTTTAAATTTGAGCTCGGAAATGTTTTAAGTTATTGATATATATCACATTTAAAGGTCTCCTTTCCCCTTGGAAGATAGGGGAAGTCGTGGATGATTTTCAACAAATAATAACAATGTCCATCCAGGCTTGCATCAGTGCTCGCCTCTACATTCTTTACGACTTGTGAACCAATCATAAAAGTAATGAGTTGGCCTAACCAGAAAACTGGCGCCGTAGATATAGGAATAATGCTGTAGAAGCAGCCACTGCATAGGGGAATATAGTCCAGATTCCCTGCACATTTCATAGGAACCAGAATTGGATTCTTTGGTAATAAATGCAAAATTGGACAGAGCAAAAGAATTATGCTGTACCACTACAGTAGCAACTGTTGCAACGGCAAATACTGGACGCTCTCTTAGTAAAAATCCAATTGTCAACTGCATTTTGGAGTAAAAGAAAAGGAGATAAGGCATGAACAGCAGGTAAACTTAAAACTGGAAATCTGTTTCAAACACAAGACTAGTAACCTGAATTGGAAGAGTTATCAAGCCGCCACAACAGACTCCAGCAAAGAAACACTCTGGTGATATATCCTGCAAAATTTATGAGCAGAGAAATGATTGAAACAGTTATAAATATCTGTTTACCGCGGGAGAATGCATTGAGTTGCTAACAATTTCTACATAGGGTTATAGCTACAACATAACACCATCATAAGATTTATGGATATAGACATAAGGAAATTGGTTGCATTGCATTCTCAGTGATTGAATTTCTAGTCAGAGTAGGCTCAGAATTAGCAAAAGGAAAGTTGTAACTGACGGACGGGGTCTGTCTATCTTCTGTTTTATAGCAGGACTTCTACACTAAATATATCAATCGTTTCAAAGATGAAATGAAATTATCAGAACTTCTAAGCATTGTTATTGACCATCCTAACATATCTGACACCTTTTGTTCTGTAGGTAACAGTATCATGCCTCAAAACTTGTAGTACCCAAAAGAGGGAACAAGAAAGTAGCAGAAGATGGTTAAACTGATCTAACCCTCAGCATGTTAAGAAGGAAAACAGAAAAAAAATCACTCACCAGAGCCCCTGCAAGGAAAGCAGTGGGATTTCTTACTCCAAGAGAAAACCGTTCCACTGCATCAGCATAGGAAAATCCACCAGTAAGCAATTAAAGAAGTCAAGGAACAAGAAGATCATATTAGTTAGAACAAGTATTTTCCAGAAATATGATAGCACAAGAAACATCAGCTATTTTAGAATGTGAAGAAAAGTTCAGAGATTTAGGCATATAGACATAAGGATTAAGATGGACTAGAACTATGCAAACTCTTACGATAGAGGATAAATTTTGAGGTAGATCACTAATTTCAATCTGACATTTCCAGCAAATAGAGAATCTTAACACATAATTAAATTGTACTCCTCCAGTACCAACATAGATGTGTGATAGTACTGATGCTACATTATGATCATAGTAATAAGTGTGCGCATATCCAATGAAGAGGGTTAAGAACCATGAGGTTTCAAGTTCAAATCCCAACGAAGCCAAAAACACTAGGTGATTGCTTCCCATCTGTCCAAGCCTTGGTGGACAGAGTTACCCGGTACTTGTGCTGGTGGGAGGTAGCAGGTACCCATGGAATTTAGTCAAGGTTCGTGGAAGCTAGCTCGAACACCACAGTTATATAAAAAAGAAAGAAAAGTGTGAGCATATCAGTGGAAGCAAGGGTTTCACAATGATTAAAAGTTTTCACAGTGCAAGAGACATTGGATTAAATTCAGCATCTTTGTTGCAACTCACCAAAACCAATGAGATTCCCATGTTTTTGTACAGCGTTTGTAATATCTCTTGCCTTCTGATTTCCGATCCCTAACTACAACCAAATTGACTCTGAATTACCAAAATCAAGTTCATATATTTTTAAGTAAGAGGCTGAATATTTTAACATGAATAATATGCTAGTAGCCAAAACAAACCTTTGAGCAAACATCATCGGATGCACCAGATTGCTTAAAAAGCTTCCCAAGGTAAAAAGGTATCATATCGCTGATGCAAACACCCCTGAATATTCAGGATCCACAACAATATTAACATTGTGGAAATCACTGTTTCTACATAATCAATTTTTACTGGCACTGAAGGTGCATAAAATCTTTTAATACAACAAAAGAAAAAGAAGGTTGTGTGTACTGCAGAATCATGAAAGGTTGGTCTGCACGTGCATTCATCAAAATTACTCAGAGGACACAGTTTCAACTAACCAGTACACCCAAAGAATAGTGGATGTTATATATGGAGCATTCCTGGAAAAGGAGTTCACTAGTGATTGCCACGTCCCATCTAGAACAAGCATCCGTGCTATAGAGATTCCAACCTACACCATTCGTCAATGAATTTGACTATAATAGTGAACATCATGAAGAAGGATAACAAGCCATTTTAGTGCCTATTCAAATGAATATAATAGTGAACATCATGAATAAGATAACAAGCCAACTTAGTGCCTAATCAAATGACTATAATAATGAACATCATGAAGAAGGATAACAAGCCAACTTAGTGCCGATTCATAGACACTAAATAACAGCATAGTTCTAGCTTTTAACTTTTTTAGACAGGGTTCTAGCTTTTTAACTTTATAAAATTTTGAAGCTTCTTCACAACTCTTTTCTCCACATGGCCTCTCACTTTTTCCTCACATCACTAAAGAACAACTCTAAAGTCACTAATTTTAAAAGCAATGTCAAATCAAAAGAAGAAAAATAATCGCAGGAAAACTATACTATCTGCAACGTGGCCATGAATCAGAAGACCTGTTAGCAGGGGAGTTCATGAACAGAAGTACCAGCAAAGGAGACGGACCCATATATTCAAAGCCTCCTCACTGATAAAAAGTCCAAAACCAGCTGCCATCAGAAGCCAAAAGTAGATCCATCTGAAGAATGAGAAGTACAAGGGCTTAATATCACATCCGAGTACGCTAATAGATAAGAGATCCAGGATATCAATTATATTAAGCATCTATCATAGTAGTCGAATAAAGTATAATAAACATAAGGTTGATCTTGTTTTCTTCTTAGATCATGGTGAAACCCCTGATGAATGAAAAGTGGCAAGGATAATTAGTTGCTTACCCTGGAGCATATTCTGGCAGCATGACTCTATAGCCAAAAGCTTTGAAAGAAAAACCAGGAGCAGGTGTAGAAATTGTGGAAGATGATGATCCATCAACCAGATATTGAATTCCAAAATTTGATCCTTGATTAGGCTGCTTAAGGCCTATGGATAGAAATGTAATAGTAGCAGCTATACCTAATGCTATTGCCAGTTTTGCCAAAAATGAACTTCCTGTGCGAACAGTTTTATCTTCCAGACTGCCAGTTAAGTCATCAGAAGCCTTGTGCACTATCTCCTCAGCATCCTCCGACTGTCCGGCTTCATAATTTTTAGCACTCACAAGCTGAAATCTTTTGATCCTACACTTTGAATAGAGAATTTGCCATCACTTATACAAGGCCCGTTACAGTGCATAGATAAGCTCGGTACACTGAATGTGTTCATTAGCTGTTTAAGGAGAGACCTCTTGAATTTCTAGGTGATACATAAATAATAATATAATCAAATAACAAATAGCATTAGATAAGACATCTCCTTGTACATTCAATTCACAAAATGTACAGGCGTCTATGATGTTGTATATGTTAGCACTAAGTTGGAAGCGAACATAAAAGGGGCTTACAATTCTACTCTAAGAATTTATAGAGTATATATCAACTGCCCCTAGGACTTCAGTCTAGTGGTAAGTGCAGCATGTAACGTGTAGGTTAGGCACACATCACAAGTTTGACCTGCCACATACAAAAGTCTGATGATTAAGTGGAAAAGGATAGAGGGAGGACTCTTTAGTTATCCAACGAATTTCAAACCGTGTGCCCCTCGAGGATCTCTCGGTTATTAAAAAAAGTAGTTCAGATCTACCTTCTTTCATCAGATCTGCCACTGCTCTTTAGCATAGGTTTATTTTACATAGCCATAGATGTTTTCAACATCTTTATGTTGGTGAACAAAGACTTGGGTGACATTCCGACATTTTACATAGCCTCGAGGTAGTGGTAAATTCTGCGTGACCTCACTTGTGAGATTTCACTGGGTATGTTGTCGTCGTTGCTGGTTCCATGCTACGAAATTAGAGATGTCCTATATGACAAAAAAAATGCTGCACCGCATATTACAAATAGAGATTTTAGAGACATCCAAGCAACCACCTACCCTACCTTACCTTCCCTCCCTTTGGAGTGATGACAAAAAAAATCAAATAACAGTTCATCAAATCCAAATTGGTAGGGTTCCATCCAGAATATTCAAACCAACAACAACATAGTCAGTATAGTCCCACAAGTGGGTATGAGGAGGATTGGTTTTACAATGACCTTATCCCTATCTTTCTAGAGTAGAGAGGTTGTTTTTGAGACCCTCGACTCAGGAAAATCGTTTTTCAGAACAAGTTCCAAAGAAATGCAAATAAAAAACGCTACTTTCTCCGTCCCAATTTATGTGACCTTTTGGATATCGAGATTCAAACAAGTCTATCTTTGATCATAATTTTTTTTATTTATCTTTAAAATATTTGGAATTGTCATTCATTGTGAGTTGTGACTTATAGTACTTCCTACCTAGTTTCCAAATATATAAATTTTGTTTCAAAAAAATTGAAGATTCCTAGCCCGAATTCAGGCTCAAAATTGTGACACATAAATTGAGACAAAGAGAGTATGATGAAAATATTGAATAGAGAAAAGTAGTCATAGTAAAGATAACCAAATTAATGAAACAACAACGAAATTTCAAACGACTAAATGAATCCATTTGTATCTATTCCAGTCTATTAATGCAGTAGAATTCCGTATCATCATAGTTAAACCATATTTACACATACAGCAACCATTCTCCTATGTAGGAAGTTAGAGATTGAGTATATTTTGAACTTACAGCAATACCTAGAGTATGAAGAGTAATTGTACTGCTGCTGCGGTGCACTACGGAGTTTCCACCGTCTACGAGTAAAACCGGCGAGGTGGTTAAGTTCTCGTAGAGTTGCAGATTGAGATGAAGATAATGAAAGAGATAGCAATATTTGATTATTACATAGAGTCACCATTATCTCTTCTCTAGCGGCGTTGTTGTGGTGGAAGTTGTTTGTTTACCGGGCGGGAATATTGTTATTGGTTAGGTAAGGAGTATATGCTCCTCGGGATTCGAAAATCTTCAAGTCCTGTACAATTGACACGTGTCAGATCTGATTAGATGTTTGTGGACCCAATGAATTGATAGTTGTATCCCTTGCGTTTGAGATACTCCAAATCACCAATCTCCACTCTTCTGGGAAAACCAATTTAGATGGTCCATTCACATTTGCCAAGGTAAGGTCCAACCACAGGATACTCAACTTTAAGTTAGATTTTAAATTTGAAAAATAACTATTTTTTAATCACTAGTTTCTGGATACGCGTGTTCCGTGAGAATTTTCATACATTTGTTGGAATAATTAAAATTCTATGAAAACATGTAGTAAGTAATAAAATGCAATAATTACTAATATATCTTTATAATATGGCAAAAAGTACCAAATAAGGAGTGTATTTTAATGTTTAAAATCAAGTTCTTTTAAGCAACCAATAGTAAGTTTTGAATTTTGGTTAGTAGTTAGCAAACTTTCAATAAAGCCACAAATGACTAATCAATCCGAAGTTCATAGAAATTAAATTTAAAAAGTCTAATAGATAGAAAACACAAAAAAAATACAATGTATTCATCTTTCTTAAGACTTAAATCATACAATATAGATGTAAACATAAATAAAAAATGGTACATAATTTTTCGAGTTCTTGTCGACTCCTTCTATCATAGCCAATCAAAATTCAAAATCCTTCTTTGTCGAGTCAAACTAAAGAATGAATCAATAGAACAAAAATGGTTCACTACTTTAACTATAGAATGAAAGGGATATCTAAGGATCTCATGAAACAAAGAAGATGATTTATATAAATAAAATTGGAGGAACACCAAAAGTTATCTTAAAAT